TACATGTTTAGGATAGATTTGCATGCATGTTGCATATTTGAGTGTTTTCAGGTGATTTGGAGCTGTTGGCGAGCAGATTGAGAGAAGCAGAGCAAAACCAACAGTATCACTCGACCTGCACAGTCGAGCACTCTCAGCAGCCAGCCTCTCAAGATCACTCGACCACATCTCCTCATCACCAAGTGGATTGCGCGGTCGAGCATCACCAGCAGACTCTTCAGATCACCACTCGACCTCGTCTTCAGATGACCACTCGACTGACCACTCGACCTCGTGGTCGAGTACCGTCTCCTTCACCAACTCGACCTACCACTCGACCTCGTGGTCGAGCACCATCTTCTTCAGCCACTCGACTGGATGCTCGATCTCCACTCCCCACAGCCACTTAATCACAAGCTTCAAAGTCTTCTCAGGTCCCAACTCAACCAGACACTGAGCATAAGGAAGAGAAGAGGATGAAGCACTACTCGACTCACCACTCGACCTAGGTACTCGATTGCATCACGACCAGATCAAGAAACCGCCAAGACGTCAACTTTACTCGATTGCTCCTACTCGATCACAAGAGTCGAGTACTCTCTTAAACCGCTTTAAAACCTTGTCGTTTTGTGTTTTAGGGTTTCCTAGTATTTACTATAAATAGGTTGTTTCTCTTAATTTTCAGACTAAGTTATTTTCTGCAGAACAATTAGTGCTTTCTTCATCTTTGTAATCCAGATTTCTCTTAATCTATTGAGTATTTGCTTTTGATTTCTTCTACAAAGTTGTTCATCTTGTTGAGATCTTGCTAGTATGAAGTTTTTATGCATTTCTGGGTTTATGTTCATGTTCATGAGTTTTGAGTAGTGATTAGGGTTCTTGAGGATGGGTTAGAGTAGTTTAGAATCCTTGATCTGCTAGGTGGTTGAGTTTGATTGGTAGATCCCTTCTGGATTAGTTGTTCTTAATGCTGATTGCTTTCTGATCAACTGGAATCTGAGCCCAGACATTTCCGCACCCAAAAGGTGTTCGACGAAATGTCTGAACCACTAATTCCAGAGATTCGTGGCTCTGTACCAAGGTATTGGTTACAGGGAGCGTTTTGGCTTAGACTTGTTGTTTCGTAATGCCTGTTAGGTTAGCTCTCGTCAATGGTGATTGAGTCTGGGACTAGCTTTGCTTGAGGATCTCTGTTGCGGTAGCACTTTGATTTGGCTATTGAACTTGTTGTCTAGGGATAGTTTGTTGAGCATGTTAACCACCTGTGAGATTAAGGAGACTTCACTACTCGATTACCCCATCCTCGGGAATTTCTCTTCCAATTGATTTCTTTGTTCACATCGCTATTGATTGCTTGATCTCGTTACTTGTTGCTTAGTTTTTGCATTTTTACTTATTTCACTTGAAGTACTCGACCACACCCAGCGGTTTGGAAACGAACTGTGTGGTAGAGTAGTTTTACTGCAGTTTCCATTTGGTACTCGACCTGTTACTCGACCACATCCAGTGTCTGGCAAACGGACTGTGTGGTAGAGTAGTTTTATTGCAGTTTCTGCTGTTACTCGACCTGATACTCGACCACACCCAGTGCTTGGCATCAGGCTGTGTTGGTCGAGTATATTAGCTATTTCTGTTATAATTTCTGTTTTTGCATGATCATTTAGGATTGTTAACAACATCAAAACCTGTTATTGCTTGGCTTGACTCTGTAAAATCTGATTGCATCTTGATTGCTAGCATCACACCCATTTGGATTGACACCTTAAATACTACAATGACATGATAGTAATTTAAGGATAATTGATCTTAGTTAAAATCTTACTATCAGTTACGCCAAACGGTGTAAAAAATGTCAGATGCACGCTCCTCTTATTCACCAGCCATCTGAAATTTTGTCATCTATATCCGCTCCATACCTTTCATGAGGTGGTCAATGGATATAGTTGGTCCGATGCATCGCTCAACGCGAGGCGTCCAATACCTATTAGTTCTAACGGACTATTTTTCCAAATGGATCGAAGCAGAAGCCTACGTAAATATACAAGATTCTGTGGTAAAAACATTCTCGTGGAAACACATTATTTGTCGCCATGGAATTCCTTACGAAATAGTAACGGACAACGGTCCTCAATTCATTTCAAATCAATTTGAAGATTTTTGTTCCGCTTGGGGAATAAAACTTAGCTATTCAACGCCGAGATATCCTCAATAAAACCATTCTCAGCAATCTCAAAAAGCGTTTGAATGCTCGGAAAGGTGGTTGGTATGACGAGCTGCAACCTGTGTTGTGGGCATATCGAACAACCCCAAGACAAGCAACGGGAGAAACTCCATTTTCATTAGTATATGGGATGGAAGCTGTAGTCCCAGCCGAACTGAATGTTCCTGGTTTACACCGGAGCGAAGCTCCTCTTAACGAAGAACTAAATTCTAAATTATTAGAAGACGTTCTTGATACAATCGATGAAAGGCGAGATCAATCCCTTATTCGACTTCAAAACTATCAACAATCGACCGCTCGGTACTATAACTCAAAGTTGAAAAACAGACCTTTAAATGTAGGAGACTTTGTTTTAAGACGAGTGTTCGATAACACAAAAGAAGAAGGAGCTGGAAAACTCGGTATTAACTAGGAGGTCCTTATCAAATCACAGAAAAAGTCCGAAATGGTGTTTACCGTTTACCAGACCTTGACGGAAATCCCGTTCAAAGGCCTTGGAACGTCATCAACTTGAAAAAGTTCTATTGCTAAAGCAAACACAATCGAACTACGATTTGGCTTGATCCTATTTTGGGTACATAGGCAGCTCGCTAAACACGAGTCCATCTATAACATAAAAATAAAAATATTATTCCTATCATGGAGTCTTGTTTTTATAAATTCAATATTCGAACATGAATATAAATACATTGCGAACGATGTATAGATGAATAAGCTAGAACCAGATCTAGAAGGGTCTTGAGTTACGGAACAACTTTGCTCCTTGACCTGCGAGGTCAACGATGCTCATAATACAACCTGGCATGTTTTCGTACTCCTGAAGTCCTAGTTCGATCCAGTCGGAAGGATGAGCTTCGAGGCGATGAAGCTCGCGAGCAATATCGAGGCGACGCTTCTCTAGTTCCATGATCCTATGCCTAATCTCTTGTTTCTCATTTTCGAGCTCGTCGTGCCGAATGATAAGCTGAAGAAAATGAAATGCTTCGTTTAGCAATAATAAAAAGAGTTAAATCACTAGGTTTAACAATACCTTGGTAATGAACTCCTCGGCCTTGGCACGATCTTGAGCCGATAATCTATCAATTAACATGTTTGGAACCTGAATGCTGGTTCCCCAACCTAGTGGGCGTGATTCTTCTGGTTCGTCGTTAGCTTCCGTTTTTACAAGATTGATGTCTGACGTTTCCGGAAGATCATCACTTATCACTTTAAACAAGTCGGAGGGATTCTCTGAGAAATTACCTTCCTCAAACATTTTTGTAGAATTATTATTAATTAAATTAAATAACGATCTACATCTGCTTTATATTCAAAATATACTTGACCACATTTAAGAGGGTAAATTGACGATTTCCCAAATCTGAAATTACTACTTTTATGGAAAATGTAATCGAGTTAATTACTAATTATATTCCCTAGATAAACGCGTTAAATATGATGAGTTAATCGGCAAATTTAAAGCAAAAGAGGAATGTAATTAATATTGTTGGGCCTCTAGCCCAATAGTTTTTTACATAATTAAAAAAAAACTAAGAAGGAGGGGGTTCGCAGGAGGAACTTCATCTGATGGCGAACCGTCTTCGCGTTCATCAGGATCGAGGTTCCTTTGGTAGATATCCCAATGCTTCTTCAGGAACCTAATGTGTTCTCGAAGACAGCCGGGAATGCGGGCGATAGAATCAAATCCCCTCCTCTCCCAGTTGTGAACGTCCGACTCCAAACGTCGGATCTTCCTTTCTGTTCTAGCAATCCGATCCTCGAGGATACGGCGTTTCATTCCGAGACGTTTCCTTTCAGAGCAGAGGAAAGCTTATCTTTCCGTGATCTGTAAATAACAGATACATTACGAATCTATTAAGTAAAACCTTGAAACTATTGGTACTAGGTTCAAACCTGCTCCATGAATTCATGCCACTCGATCTGTTCCTCCCGGGACATGGAAGAAAAAAAACAAGGAATAGCCACCCCTTGTGGAGTGAATCCATCCCCCGACGGGAAAAGAGATTCGCTTGAAGGGAATCGTGGTGAGTTAGGACCAGAAGGTTCGCCTTGGGGAGAAGTCATCTTTTATCTAAAAAAGAAGGACTACAAAGTTCTTTATAAAAAAAAATCTATAGGAAAATTTCCAAAATCCAACTCTCCTTATATAGGAAAAATATGTAAGGTTGCTCACTTGAGTGTTTATTGAAAAAGGAAGTTAAACGTCAATCTATTGATCTGACAGTTATGACCTTTCGATTTTCGTGTACATGCACAAACAAGACCTACGAAATATAGGTTATTCAAGTATCCCTTAAACACCTAGTAGGCGAACTTAATTTCGAACTCGAAATTCGAAGACAATCAATAAATGGTATCACACCTTTTTATCTCTTAGGGAAAGCAAACAGTTCTTACTAGAGATTTCCCTAATCGAACACATTTGAAGTATCTCAAAGTGTTCTTGTAAGCCGAGCTCTAACCTCGCAAACGAGAGACCGAGGAAAAATTCCAATGTTTTTTGTTTTAAAAAGGCAAGTAGGTCTGATCAGTCTATCTCTCCTATAATCCTAAACCACTTCGATTAGGAGGACTTTGCAAACCCTCTAGGTAAAATCGATGGTTTCCACCAAAATTAAATATTTCTTCCTAAAGAAATTTTAATTAAAAACCCCCTTGGGTAAGTTATTCATAACAGTAATAAAAGCCTCCTTGGGCAGAAAACTCCAAAAAGAAATAAACAGCCCCATGGCCAACAAAACGAATTTCATGTCTTAAAATTAAAAGGGACAATCCCCATAAAAGGTGAATGCAATCACCATCATTCAATCATAGGCGAACCACCTTCATCTCCTGCTTGATTTGAGACAAGAGCACTCCCGACATCAGCGTTCTGAGTTGTGGGAACCACCTCAGGATTAAGCGAGCTAGCATCTTGAGGAGGTTCGCTCTTCGATTCAAGGCCGTCTCCCATAATCGAGGAGATGGCAGGATCACGACCAGAGAACCCTTGAGCTCGTCCCGAGGAGATTCTGTCACCATTGGTTCCGAACTCATTAAAATGAGCGCGAGGAGAACCTGTTAACATCATCTCGTCCAGAGACAAACCAATATTTGGCTCAGTCAATGGAGGGGAATCGGCGAACTCAGAAACAAACTGCTGCAAATTCAAATACGGCTGAGGAGCAGTAGCTAGCTTAGCTTCAGTCTCAGCAAGCTCAGCGCCAACTGTTTCCTTTTCCTCAGCCAAGTTGACCTTTCCGTCCTCTATCTCCTTGATCAGATCGACATTGCTCTTCATTTCATCACGCTCGGAGTTAAGTTTGTTCCAAGCTTTATCTGTAGTAATAAATTCCTGCACAGTAAGAAGAAACTTTTGCCCAGCTCCTTTAACCTCTTTCCGAGTATTGTGAGATATCTTGCGAACATCTCGATCTTTGAGTTCGGAAAGAGATTCATTTTTGCGCTCGAGCTCCTCAGCAGCTGTTTTGACCCTGTCAAGCTCTGATCTCAGAAGCTCAATCTCGCCCTTTGCGAGGTTATGGTCAGCAAGGGCAGTCTCTAGCCTCTACTCAGTTTCGATTAAAATCTTCCTTGTCTCCTCGCCAGATCTCTCGAGTTGTTCGATTTTCTCCTGGCGAGACGAATCAAGGCCAGCAGTCTCCTGCACGAGCCGACTGGAAGATTGTAGTTTCTCGATCTCTCCTTCAGCAACAACAGCTTTCTTGGAAACTTTGGCAAGCTCCTCTTTGTAATAGTTGATGATGCCATTCACGTCCAAAGTTGCCTAATGAAAGAAGATGCGTTTTTAAAATTTTTTTTTTTCGAAATCAGTTGTTGAAAGGTGCAAATAGTCAAACCTGGGAGGAATGGAATGAATGGCTGACATACATCTTCTTGATATCAGGCTTTAATATGATCCTTGTTAGAAGATCTTAGTCCCTTGATGCACTTCGTGTGGTGGTTGAATAGATTAAGCTAAAATGATGCGGAATGGATATGAAGTAAGTGAATGATGGTGATCGAGTGGTCTGGTGAAGAGGTGGTCGAGTAGTTTGGTGGTGAGGTCGAGTAGGATGGTCGAGTGGTGACAAAAAGGTGAGATCGAGTAGGGTTTGGTGGTGAAGCGGGAGATGTGGTCGAGTAGGGACTTGGTGGTTGAGTAGACAAGGATGTGATCGAGTAACCAAGGTGAAATCGTGAAGGTTTCGGGTATGGTGGTCGAGTGAATGAGAGTGAGGTCGAGTATGATTACGATTGATGATTTGAATGATC